GGGCCGGGGTGGCCCCGCGCGGCGGGTGGCCGCCCCGGCGGCCGCCGGGCCAGGGGGTGGTGCCGGTGGAGGGGCGCCCGCGGGCCCCGCCAAAGTCTTTGTGAAGATCAAGGCCTCCCACGCGCTCAAGAAAAAGATACTGCGTTTCCGCTCGGGGTCTCTCAAGGTCATGACTACAGTGTGAGTCTGGGGACTCGCTGGGCTCCCCCTTCATGGCCTCTGCACCTCCACACTCCCCATCACTGACCCTTCCACACACCTACCTTCCAAAGACCGCCGTTTTCTCCGTTTCCAAAGACCCTCCTCACCCCTGCACCCCACCATGTGTAGGTCTCTAGGTCGAAAAGGCTCCCCCTCCACCACAGGGAGAAGTGGGGGAGGAGCCCTGTCTGCCGCAGATGGGCTTCTGACTTCGAAGTTCTTGGGTGAGAAAGTTTCCATTCTCTGGGGCTTACCTTCCCCATCTGTTCAGTGGGTGTCCGTGTATGCAAAAGGGGTGATTCAGTCTGAACGTCCCCGTTTTAGTTTAGAAGCTTAGTCTGGTCCTCTTCACCTCTCTCACTGAGCCCCGTCATTTCTTCTTTCCATGCCCACATGTGGCCCCCTCATTCACAAAGTGCCCCTTCCACGTCCCTACGGATATCCCCTGGCTCCTTGGGTCCCTACGGATATCCCCTGGCTCCTTGGTCAGCGACTCTGTCTGACTCAGGTGGTGCCTGCAGAGTGCCCTGGAAACGGAAGCACTGATTCAGGGGTTTTGAGGGTCAAGCAGGAGTTGGCAACACCTGGAAAGAAGGGCCCCTTCGCTTCTATCCCTGGACAATGAGGAGGATTGGGGGATAGAAGAGGAGAAGGAAGATGGTTTCTATCTCGTGCCTCCTCCCCACTGTGAGAGGAAGTGGGTAAAGGCCTATGACCCTCAACTGTTCAATCCAGTATTTTTTTTTTCCTTTTTTAAAGTTACTGTATTTATTATGACGATGGTGACTCCCCGGTGCACAGGGGGGCCGGATTCTGTGTGTTTCTCTAACCTCTTTGTAAATAAATGCACAATGTTACATAGGTGGCGGCCTGTTTCTTCTGTGGCAAAATGGGATGTATGCCCTTTTTCCTTCAAATGAACATTTATTTAGATTTTTGCCATGGGGCCATGCACTTGCTGGGGAGAGACAGTGAGAGGGACAGTGAGAAAGCAGCCAGGGGAATGGCCACATTACAATTCCTTCTGAGATTTTGGGCACGCATGCCTAATGCCTGGTGTGATGTTCAAGCTACCAGGTCCAGGAGTAATCGCGGTTGGCCGTGTGGGAGTCCAGTGCCTTAACCACCACACTGCTTGCTGGCCCTGAACTAACATTTATTTCAAGTTTGTTTATTTTTTTCCATGAGATAGAGAGGTGCCCCCAACAGGATCGTCACGCCACGAGCCAACCCCAGTCTCAGCCAGCTCAGGTCGTGAGCACACAGGCACGTGGACCTGACATGCTCATGGAGGTCCCAGGACTCGAACCTTGGACTGTTCCTGTGTGGGTCTGGTTGCATCACCTCGGTGCTACCATGTGACTGCTATGACTGACATTTACTGAGCGATTTCCGTTTGTTTTGGATATGGCAGTGGCCAAAACCAGCTAACGGACCGTGGGCTGGGTCTTGCTCTCATCCTCCTACTGCCCTTGGCTGTTTTCCTCTGTTGAATCTGACCCTGACTGAGTTAGATTTGGTCAGAGGTATGGTTTCATACACATGGAAAAGTATCAAAACGGGGCGGCCCGTTAGGTCCCTTCTCTCAGAAATCATCGTTAAGCGGCAGTTGGCTGGGCCTCTTGACAAGTTTTTCTTGTGTTTGTATACATACGTGAACTAGCTGTATACACGCCCAGCCTGGTGGCACAGTGGGAAGCAGACGGCTGTGGTGCTGGAAGCCACATGGCTGACTGGGTTCGTGTTCCTGTGCCCGAGGTCCTGATGAACTAGAGGAGTGGGGGTTGTGGCACGACAAGACACTTGAAGGTGCTTTTTAACCTCTCTGCCTCTTTTTGTGCATGTACATGTGCTCTCTACCATGAATAAAATACATAAATTTCAAGGTAACTACAGAAATATATGTGCGTATGTTAATACAGGTATGTTCTATATGTAATATATGTGTGAAACTACAAAAATGGGACTATATGTATATACTGTGTTTTCTCTTTTTTTCAAGAGTTATTTTTTATTTAACTTTCTTATTTATTTATTTTAATTTGACCAGAGAGGGACAGAGTAAGACTGAGAGAGAGATAGAGAGGGAAAGTGAGAAAGCAAGTCGCCAGGTTCGAGATTTGAATCCCAGTCAACCACATGGGAGTCCAGCGTCTTTAACCACAATGCCACCTGCCAGCCCCTCTGCATACTGTTTACCACCATTTTTTGGTAAGGTCATTTGTGCCTGGAGAGTTCTTTATGGGACGAATTTATGTTAAGTAATGATGTTTTTCCTAAAAATGATTTAATTTTATTAATTATTATTTTTAAAAATTTGCTAGAGGGCACATACACTCATTAGAGAGAGAGAAGAGTTCAGAAAGTGAACCATCAGATCCGGGACTCGAACCACTATTAGCCATGTGAGAATCCAGTGCCCTAACCACCACACCACCTGCTGGCCCCAAGTAATTAATTTCTTTGATAGTACTATTTAGCTTTTTTTCTTATGTCAGTTTTGCCAAGTTGTAGTCACCTAGGAATTTGTCCATTTCATCTAAATTTAGATTTTCCTATTGCTATATTATTAAAGTATTAAAAATTTATTCATGATAGAATATGTGCGCATTGGGGCCAGCAGATGGTGTGGTGGTTACAGTGCTGGACTCCCATATGGCTGACCATGGTTTGAGTCCCAGACCTGGCAGCTTGCTTTCTCACTTCCCTCTCTCTCTCTCTGGTCAAATTGAAAAATAATAACAGTAATAAATAATGTTTAAAAAAAAGAATATGTGTGCACGAGAGAGAGAGAGAAGCACCCTTGACAGGTTGTGCCACAATCCCCCCTCCTGGCCCTCCTCCTCAGGATCCTGGCCATGTGCACAGGTGCCTGGAGTGTTTCAGGCTGACCCACAAGGCTAGGCCTAACAGCATTTTTTTAAAAAGTTTATTATAGGGTACACGTGCTTGCCAGCAAGAGATAGAGAGGAAACGTGAGAAAGCACCCTTCAGGGGGGATGGCCATGCCGTGATCACTTCTCCTCCATTCTCCTGGAATTTGGGGCACATGCGTACTCACACCCAGCATGATTTTCAAGCTATCCAGGCCAGGGACTCGAACTGCAGCTGGCCGTGTGAGTCTAGCACGGTAACCACTGTGCCATCTGCTGGCCCTAAAACTGTTCTGTTTTAAATAGCACGTCTCCCTATTGCCTCGAGGTAGCACATAATTTTGTATGCTAATTGGCACTTGTATTTCTTACCATGTGAATTGCCTGTTCATACCATTTGCCCACTTTTTGACTAGGTAAGCCCAATAATTATACTCATTTATGGATGGATCAATGGAAACCTAGAGAGGGGCCGTTACTCATCCTCGTAAGTAACAGCAAGGGGTAGCCAGGACCAGGACCTCCCACCTGACTCCACAGTCTGAGGAATGGGTATTTCTTACTATTTTTTTCTTCTTTTTTAGAGGGGGGGATTTTCACTATAGGGCATGTGTGCTTGCAGAAAGACAGAAAGTGAGAAATCACCCCAAGGGATGACCATGCTGCAATTCCTTCTCCATTCTCCTCTCAGGTTTGTGGGCATGCATGCATGCATGCATGCACATGTGCCTGGCGTGAGTTTGAAGCCTCCTGGTCCAGGACCTGAACCATGGTCAACTACATGGGAATCCAGCAATGTAACCATTATACCATCTGATGGTCATGGTATTTCTTTTTTTTAAAAAAAATAATTATTTTATTTAACTTTGTTTATTTTTAATTTGACCAGAGAGGGACAGAGTACGAGAGAGAGAGAGAGAGAGGAACAGAGAGGGAAAGTGGGACAGCAAGGTGCCAGGTCCAGAACTCAAACTACAGTCAGCCATGTGGGAGTCCAGCGCCTTTAACCACCATGCCACCTGTGAGTCTGTATTTCTTTTATTT